ATCCGCTGGAGCTTAGTGTTTAGTTTATTTATTTTATTTGACATGATCTCAGCCTATTAACCCGTGTTTAGTTTACAATATTGCTATCAGAGACGTGTTACATTCATTACTATTTATATATTTTTACTGCTTGATTCAGAGAAATCTAGCTTTTTCCGAGAAACTAATCTTTAATAGATTAGATAAAATGTACGCAGTTATTCTTTTTGTTTGATTATTACTCAGTATTTTTTAGTTTTGTACCGTTTTAAGTCACATAGTTTTGTACGTCTTCCTAAGACTTGTTTTCCTTTCCTAGTTTGTAAGTTATTTTAAAGATTTGTGAATATTCCAGTTGCTTTTAGAACAATTTTATCTCAGATAACGATGTTTAATAAAATGATGCAAAGACTTATTTCGAAGATCTAATCAACACCGACTTTTAATGTGTAGGAGTACAGCTACAAAATATATATATATATATATATATATATATATATATATATATATATATGTACAATGCTCCCCTCCCGGGTAGAGCACTCTTGAAACTGGATTTCTCCAAAAGAAACATCATATATATAAAAAAAAAATTGACTTTTATATGATATGCTTTAATATTAATCTTTCCACAGACACTTGCATTTTGATGTTTACTTTCACCTCTGCATCTTTTGTTTATATCTTATGATTGAATGAGACTTACTCACAAATTTCCCATCTCAGTATTGATCTATTTTTGTCATGTTTTTAATTTACTTCATAGAACAGTTATTTTAATAAACTTGCTTTCAGAATGAGACATGTAAAGATTACACAATCGATAGCTTAATGTGAATTTCGTGTTTTACTGTTTCACTGAATGTCTCAAATATATATATATATTATATCACAACCGCTTTCTTTTATTGTGTAGAAGTCCAGCCATGAAATATATATACATATCACCGGAGACTCGCGGGCGGAACAAAATATTGCACGCGCACGCGCGTGCAATATTTCATATGTCCCCGAGGGCGCTAGCCCGAGGAGGACATATTTTCGTATAGCACGGAGGGCCCATCGGGCCCGAGTGCTATACGATTTTTCCGCCCGCGGATCGAGGTGATGTGGATTATATCCACCAGCGGGCGTATTACAGTTAATATATAATTTTATAAATAAACAATGGAGCTTGTATAAAAGTCATCTCTAGAAAAGGTCGCCACTAATTGTTGTAACCATGGTAACACGTCACGTGTTCAATGTAAGCCAATCATAAAGGGCTGTGTCGTATATAGGGGCTGGAGATGCACTGCATTCCTGGGCCGTGGGAATAATGAATGTAATGTCAGTGACGATGAATATCAATAATATAGGGGGATTATAGTGCTGATGTGTATTATGTAGTGTGTTATAATAACTTTGATATAAATCAAAGTATCATGTCATCTGCTCACGAGCTGCATGGCCATGAGCAGCCCTACCGGACACAACAATAAAATGTATTATATAGTCAGTGTAATAAGGAATTTCACATGGAGACGATACAGAAACTGAAAATATTTTAGAGAACTCCGGGCTATATTGCTACTGGTCAAATTAAATGTCACTTGTTAGCGGGCTATATCGTGAGCGGGCTGTAGAGATATCGGGCCCTTTGACAGCGGGCTGGTGAGAGCCCGCTATGCGAAAAAGCGCACGCTGGTGGATATATATATATACAGCAGGGTGTCATAATTATTGGCGCGTAGACAATTTTGCGTGAAATTTTAGCTTACCCAAGCTTTTAGAAACGATCATTACTTGACTTCTGAGGGTCAGTTTCCTATGGAATCTTGATCATTCGGTAGATAATCTTTTATACTACAGTTCAGTCTAAAAACGAAGTCTGAAAGAAGTTAAATTTCGTCGATAATTACGACGAAAGAGAAAAATTTTGATTATTGGACTTGAAGCCTTCGGCTGCTTCCTCTGAATTCCGGGATGAGTCCGCCCGACTATATTTTATTGGGTCAGTTAGAGGAGAAAGAGAGCTTTTATAAAATCTATAGTTTTCTATATGTTTCGCTATCGCCTGAAGAGCTGTGCACTTTAGTCTAAAGAATAATTTCAGAAAAAATTCACCGAAAAAAAATTACACATAAATCCCTTACTCCTTCGTAAATCTAACCAAGTATGGAATCGACCCTTTAAATAACGGCCTAAATTATGGGTTTTGACGTACATCAACACAAAATTCTGAAATTAAGAAAAAGTTCAAACGATTGTCTACAAACCAGTTTTTGAATTTTGTAATTTCGACATTCAGAAGTAAAGTTATGACCCGTCGAAAAATATTGATTTCATCATAAAATACACATAAAATTTCAAACACGCCAATAATTCTGACACCCTGCTGTACATATATATTTTGTAGCTGTACTCCTACACATTAAAAGTCGGTGTTGATATATATATATTTCATGGCTGGACTTCTACACAATAAATATATATATTCCGTGGTTTCCGTCAGCAAATTAAAGTTGCCAGATAAAATTTGAAAATTTTTAATGTTATTCTTCAAAAATATACCATTTCAGAGATGTCGAACCTTTTCTTGAGGCTGTCGAAAACATGGCGAGATATTATATTGATCGTGGCGTTGATATATTTAAAGAAGCGATATCTGGTAAATTGTTTCAACTTGAATCAATAAATTAAAAAAAAAAAAAAAAATTGGGTTTTCAGAATTCTACAATTATAATTTTTTCCCGATCCATGACTCAAAGTGCCGAAGGCACAAAAGAGTCAAGGACAAGGGTTAGCGAACGAGGTTTTTTTGGATATGGTAGCTTTGCGACCGTGCCTGCGAGCGTGAGCGCGACCGTACGTGCCTGCGCGCATTGTTGTCGCTGGTGGCAATATTTGCTTTGTATTCTACTAAGTGTAAAATGCGCTCCCCATGGTTACACGATTCAGCTATAAATGCGACCGGGACACGGAACTAACTCTTTTCCCTCGATATTTTCACACAAACGTTATAAATTACATTTTGATTAAAGATATGAGATTCAAGTTATTACTAATTGCTATTCTCGCTTTTTCTTATGATTTTGGACCTGGCCCTGGCAATTTAATTGAAAATGAATGTTACCATGATTTAACTATTGTTTGGTCCTGTGTGGTTGATTTTGTTATGGCTGTTTTAACCCCCCTCGCTCAATTATCCGCTGTAGTGATTACAAACATTCACTGTTATGTTAATAACATACAGTATATTTGGATACTGTTTCTGCATCACTCCGTGTATTTCTCTCACAACGGGGGTGGTGTTTGTAAAGGTTTCAGATTTAGGAGGCTGTTCTTCGTGTCAAACAGGTTGAGTGCGGCGTTAGTCACATCCGTACTCTTGTCGGCTGCTTTCGTGGACATCCGCATGCTCTCTACTACAGGTGATGAATTTCACAATTTTATCTAGGCAACGGTATAAATGAAACACGCCATAATTTATAAAAGAATAATATTATTAAACACTTTTATTAAATTTTATTTACAAACACTTATTACAAACAATATCATACTAATATTTAACCAGGGTTTTATAAATTGATAATAATACTGTTTCTCTCCTAGGTTTAACGCTCTTTGAGTGTGATACCTGGATTGTTTTGTGCACACCCCAGGAATTGTTTATTGTTCGCAATTCAATTCTGCCACAATGCAATCTGTGGTCAGGTGTGTGCACTCTGCTGTTATTGCTCTCTGGAGATATTGAGTTAAATCCAGGCCCAACCACATCATTTGTGCAAACTAATGATAGAACCGTGTTTACTGACAAGAAGGTTAATTTCTTTATAATCTTCTGTGCTCCTTTATTTCAAGTATTCGCTTTCAATGCAATTGTTAACAATTCCATTTAAGATGTTTAATTAACCCCAAATTTGATAGATGCACTTATCACTAATATTCCCTATTTATCAGGTCGTTGTTATTGGAGATTCGATACCAAAGTATGTAGGGGATAGTACCAATGAAACAGAGAAAGAGAGGTTTGTGGATTCATACAAAAGTTTAGAAGTCCTTGCATGTCGAGGCAAGGCCATCTCGCAGATTACTGACTGTGTGTACAATCTCAGACGGGCAGTTGTAGATTTACAGGCTGATATCGTTTAAGTTTTGCTGGGCACCAATAACATCAGTGGTCGCTCAGCTTGTAATCAACAACAGTTTGCAGCTGCTTTCAATGAATTCATTGATGCTGTTAACAATAAATTCAAACGTGCTCATGTTATTGTCAACATCATAATACCTAGACTTGATATTAGCCCTACCTTAATGGACAAGTTAGCTGCTTTCAATAAGGAAATACATGGTCTTTCGTTTAGGCGTGGATGTACTGTAATTTCATCCCCCTGGGACACAACTAGAACAGATCCTAAGGTCTATCTGGCTAAGGATAAGCTTCACCTTAGCTATCGTGACAATGTCATGTTGAAGAAAATCGTGAAAGCAAATATTCACGCTTACTCACATGGCATCTCCTCATTGCCACATGATTTACTCTGCTATGTCGAGGATCGTTTCCAACCAACGGTTATGCCCCTTTCTTCTTTTCCCAATTATGTAAACAATTCCTGGGACTCGACTTACACGGGGTCATCTAAACCTCCACCAGACCCTGCACCTGCTCCTATTGCTTCATTAACTCTTCAACCTGTTACTGATTCTAAGGAGGAAGCATCCCATTCACAGTACTTTCCTCAACCCGTCCAAGTCCAACTTAGGACATACGCTTCTGTAACATCTCACAGTTTATCTGTTGATCGGACCACTCGCCATTACCATCTCAATTCAGATACTACCGTTGCTCAATCTACTCGAAGTCCTCTTCCATCTGTGGGTTCTCATACATCCATACCAGTCACTGTTCCACTAACAGCTCATCAATACGATGATTCCACTCATTTGACCACTAATCCTGCTGTTTCGGCATCTGCATCGGCAACTGCTTCTGCGGCTATAGCTGTTATTCAAACATCTACTCTACCAGCTCCACCTACCCCTACTGATTCTGCTCCATCACTTCTTGAACCAGCTCCAACTACTCCTATACCTAACCCTGTTCCTGCTACCCCTTCATCACTTCCTGCTCCAACTGCCCGACCAGATGCTACCAATGCTCCTCCATCTGATCTGCCTCCTGCTACATCTGCTCCACCTACCACTGTATCAGCTCCTTCTCCTGCAGACCCTCCTTGTGCTTCATCACTTCCTGCTCCAACTGCCCGACCAGATGCTACTAATGCTCCTCCATCTGCTTCACCTGACCCTATTGCATCTACGTCATCAATTTTGTCCAAGTGCCCAGATTGGCTTCGTAAAAGGTTAAGTTATTACACGAATTTCCTATCTGCCCGTATTGTACAGGAGGTTGAGAAACTGCTTCTAGCAAAGGTTGCACAGGGTATGTTTGTTAGACAGGGAATCAATTCTTCAAAGGTCCTTCTTTTCGGTGAGCATAAATATATTTATAACAGGGCCACTATGCATCTTAGTCCTATCCCTATTCGATCCTATCCTATACTGCAAACAGTTTTGTTCATGGTCAATATTAAGCTTTCATCCAACTTCAACAGCATCTTGGTTAATTTCTACGAAGACCCCTCTGTCATCTTACCTTATCACAAGGATGATGAACGACACTTGGACAAGTCTGCCAAAATTGCTACGCTCTCCATTGGGGCTACACGTAACATGGATTTTGCTGCGTGTAAAAAGGAGCGCCCCTCATATAGTCAGCAGCTTCTCTCCAATTCTTTATTTGTCATGCATCCTGAGACACAGGTATCTTTTTTTCATCGTATTGCGCCCGGAAGTTTCTCTCGTCATTCCCTTGGCTACCGTTTCAGTCTCACATTCAGAACGCTCAAGCCAAGATCTACTTCACAGCCCAGCACCCTTGATAAGAATGAACGGGTGTCGTCATCCCGCCCTCTTTCTTCACAACTCACCACCCTTCATAAGAACAATGGCATACTTGTGTCATCATCATCGTCCGTTTCTACAGCTCCTTTTGTCCCCACTAATAGTTGCAATTTAGATTTGTCACTGCCGCCGTCACAACATTCTTCTCCATCAGCCTCGTCCCCCTGTTCTCCTATATCTGAACAACCTTCACTGCCACTGTCATCCCCTTCACTAATAACTGAAGAACATTCTTCTCCACCAGCATTGTCCCCCTATTCTCATACATCTGAACAACCTTCACTTGTACTGTCATCCCCTTCAATGCTGCCTGCAGAACATTTTTCTCCACCAGTATCGTCCCCCTGTTCTCCTATATCTGAGCAACCTTCACTTCTACTGTCATTCCCTTCACTAATAACTGAAGAACATTCTTATCCACCAGCATTGTCCCCCTATTCCCATACATCTGAACAACCTTCACTTGTACTGTTATCCCCTTCAATGCTGCCTGCAGAACATTCTTCTCCACCAGTATCGTCCCCCTGTTCTCCTATATCTGAACAACCTTCACTGGCACTGTCATTACCTTCACTAATAACTGAAGAACATTCTTCTCCACCAGCATTGTCTCCGTCTTCTCCAACATCTGGACAACCTTCACTGCCACTGTCATCCCCTTCGCTGTTGCCTGCTGAACATTCTTCTCCGCCAGTATTGTTACCGCTACTTACACCATCAGAAGAATCTTCACCGCCAGTGTCACTCCCAACCGTTTTCAATCTACGAGAATCTTCACCAGTACCATCCTTCTCGCTACCTACTTTAGAACAATCTTTTCCACCAGTATTATCCCTCCCACTGACATCACTACAACAATCCAATCCGCCGTCACTGCCACCATTACAACATTTTCCTTTACCAGGATTATCCCAACCACTTCCACCGTTACAAGAATCTTTGCAACCAGCGTCAATCAAATTAATTCTTTCATCATCCGATGGATTTGCACTACCAGCACTTGTACATAATCCACAACCTTGCCGTAACATAATGTTATTTTTGTCAGCCCAGCACCAGCCTGCACAGCTGGGCCATTCTATCACCTCAACAGCTTTTCCCCTTCTATCTTCAAAGATAGATCACCCAACTTTACCTAATGTTACTGAGTTACACAGTTTTTGTAATTCATATCAGCAGTGGGGTGGTGGGGCTAAAAATCGATTTGTTGATGATGAAGCTGCCCACTCCTCTGACGATACCCTAGACATTGACAGTGATACATCTGACTGCATCTTCGACGACTTTATCGACGACACCCCTATCTCACAAGAGCATGTTCCCTTTTTTGACCCGTACAATGACACTCAGACAGACGAGTATAAACATCAGAGAAGAGACAAGTCAAAACATAGAAGGCTCAATTTTACACAGGAGGACAAACAGAAGGAGAGAGATAGGCTACAACGGATTAGACTGAATAAGCCGCTAACAGAGGAGGAAAAACAAAATAAAAGAGACAAGGAAAAACAGAGGAGACTGAAAAAGACGCTGACGGAGGAGGAAAAACAAAAGCAAAGGGACAAGGCTAAACAGTACAGACTGAATCTTACAGAGGAGGACAAACAGAAGGAGAGAGATAGGCAGAAACAGAAAAGACTGAATAAGACGCTGACAGAGGAGGAAAAACAAAAGAAAAGAGACAAGGACAAACAGGATAAACTGAATAAGACGCTGACAGAGAAAGAAAAACAAAAGAAAAGAGACAAGGCCAAACAGGATAGACTGAAAAAGACGCTGACAGAGGAGGAAAAACAAAAGAAAAGAGACAAGGACAAACAGGATAGACTGAATAAGACGCTGACAGAGGAAGAAAAACAAAAGAAAAGAGACAAGGCCAAACAGGATAGACTGAACAAGACGCTGACAGAGGATGAAAAACAAAAGAAAAGAGACAAGGCTAAACAGTACAGACTGAATATGACAGAGGAAGACAAACAGAAAGAGAGGGATAGACAAAAGCAAGCTCGTATTCGACGGAAGCTAACTAAAACGGAGGGGTTGCATAACATATCAGTTGAAACCATCACACAGACAATATTGTCACCCCTCTCATCTACTCAGACTTACACCTCACCCCATGACTCAACTAAAACAAGCAATTATGACAGACAAAAAGATTCTCAGTCACCACCGCGACCGTACAAATTGTTTACTTCCCCATTACCAAATTCTGACAGAGCCACAACTCCTACAACATCACTGCCCTCTCCCAGACTTACACAATCTGCAGAATCTACTAATGAAGCCCCAGATGGTCATGACAAACCCGATTTTGAAGTTATTTCAGCCTTCCGTAATTGCAATACTTTACATTTTCGTCAAAATGTTGTCAAATTTGACAAAACATCTGCCAAATCTGGGAAACAGCAAACTTGGATTTGCAAACGGTGTAGCAGTTATCGCAAGTCTAACAAAATTTGTCCACTGGCTACTATACCCATGAAACTCGAAACTGGTTCATTACCAGACAATCTTGTCATGAATCCAACAGAGACCCGCCTTGTAGCAATGCGTATCCAGTTTATGAAAATACGGTCTTTACCTGCTGGTGGCCAACGTGGTATTAGGGGCGCGGTTGTTAATGTTCCGATTGATGCCCAGGAAAGTTGTCTCAAACTCCCTCGGAATATTCCCGATCTTGGAGTTCTTAAGGTTAAAATTAAGCGTGATGTAAGCCACAAAACTGTTGTTTTAGTTGATGATGTGGACCCTAAGAAATGCATTAATGTCTTAATATGGTTAAAAAAGCATAACCCACTGTATACTTTCACTGTACTGAATGACGATTGGATTAAAGGCAAATACAATGACCACCAAGACTTCTTTAACGTACATTTTGCAGACAATGCTCATGTTATCGCTTCATCGCTGGTTGACGAAATTGTAGCAAACATATGTAATGAGGGTACATACGACCAACTGCCCTATGAGCATTGTATTCAATATAAGGATCCTCTGCAAAATTTTATCCACGAAGTTCCAGTTATGGACTTTGCACCAGGACAAGGGAAGACACCGATACCTGCCTTATCTGACTCGTTAGCAGAGCCTTTATCATTTCCAAACCTGTTTCCCCTGGGGAAAGGCCATTTTCATGACTCAGATAGGCAAGCCTTGATTGCCAGCAAACTTATCCCAAAGTTAAGTAGAAAACAATATGCTAAACATCACCTTTACTCTGCAGATAGAAAATTTGCCATGGATCCTGAGTACATATTTTTCACGCAAGCATGTGTCGAACGTGAATCAATATACAATGCTGCATCAATACACCTTCAAAAGTCACGCAAAATCAGCACAGATGGTATTAGGTTGACAGCCGGTCTTTTTACTAATAAACTCATAAGCACAGAACAACTATTGAACAATATTGATGCATTTCGTTACATGAAGGACGTTAAGGGCACACCTGCATTCTGGCAGAGGGTAAAAAGCGATGCGTTGGGCATGGTAAGTCAATTGGGTACCTTCACATGGTTCTTAACTTTTAGTTTCAATGACTTGGTTTATTCGATTCCAGCCATATTGACTTTGATGGGGATAGAACCTTCCGATCAATTACTAACGGACATTTCGTGGCATCGCAAACATGAGCTCTTGCGTACTGATCCGGTTATAGCAGTTCGCATGTTTGATAGATATATTCGTAAAATAATATCGTTCCTTCTCGAGAAAAAACAAATTCTTGGCGCAACCGAGGCTTATACAGGCCGTGATGAATTTGGTGACAGGGGCTCTCCACATTTTCACATGATGTTAAAGTGTATTGGAGCACCTATAGTTGGGGTGGATTCTATTGAAACTATAATAAAGTATATAGACAAATACATCACTACTAAAAAACCTACCCCAGAGGAGGATCCTGTGCTTAGTGCTTTGGTAAAACTCCAAACACATTCTCATACAAAAACTTGCAGAAAAGGTGTTGCTGAAGATGCTTGCAGATTCTTCTTTCCGAGGCCAATTTCCAGAAGAACTATCATTGTAGATGCTGACGGAAAAGAGATGACCAATGCTGACCTACACAATATATCAGCAGACAGGAACAAAGGCCGAAAAAGTCGTGTCATCTATATTAGGCAAATCGGAGCGGAGCTTATAAATCCGTACAATGAAACGTTGCTTCGTTGCTTGGAATCTAACATTGATGTTCAGTATATTGTGGGGATGTGGGACATGGTCAATTATTTAGTTAATTATGCGACAAAAACTGAGAAGGACGTTTGCGATGCCATGAAAGACGTCAAAAATAATATTATGAATGATGAAAACAAGAATGCTCGAGACAAATTAAAATCACTAGGTAATGTTTTCATTGACGCAAGGTCTGTTTCCATAAAAGAGTCTGTATTCCGAACAACTGACCTACCCATGAAATTCTCGTATCCTAAGGTGATTTTTGTGCCATCAGACATGCCTGATCAACGCCATGGTATGTTAAAGTTCCGTCGTGACATGGAAAATATGCCTCAAGACTCTGATGACATATTTATGAAAGGGTACATTGATCGTTATCCACAGAGGCCTGATTCTTTAAAGGACATGTGCTACAAAGAATTCGCTGTAAATTATGAAAAATTTTCTAATATTACAAAATCTAATGTTGACCGAACTATTCAGTTGAAGGACGCAACATTGGGAACAATGATTAAAAGGACTGGTCCTCAAATTGTTCGTAGTCACACACCATCTAGAAAAACAGATCCGGAGAAATACTACTATAGCAAGATTTGTTTATATACTTTCCTTGGACTGATGAGGCACAAATATTGGGGAATTATACTACAGTTGAGGAGTCATTTGTTGCAAAATACGATGTCATAAAATCAAACATGCAAAAATTTGAACACATTGATGAGGCAACCCTTGATTCTATGATAAGTGAAATTACCGAAGATATTTTAAATTCGCACGTGCCCATCAATGTTCACGATGACAAACTTGATCCGCGTGGTCTCGCAAGCCATCCACCAAACAATTTGAAACGTGAAGAGGATACTGAAAACTTCAAGTTCACTTACGAGGAGCCACCAATTACCGAACAAGAATACAACAGTATGGTCAGCTCTCTCAATGAAAAGCAACGTGACATATTTTCTATGATTCAGACTCATGCTCAGAACGCGAACGATGGTAAGAAAGTAAACCAACTTATACACTTCATAAGTGGAGCCGGTGGTGTTGGTAAATCATTCCTCATTACAGCTATAAGGCACTGTATAAACCGCACGTTTAAAAGAGGCTCCCACAACTCTGCTGTTTTGGTTTCCGCCAGCACTGGTGTTGCTGCCGCCCTCATAGATGGACAAACTGTTCACAAGTTACTTCAACTTGATTGCCAAGAGGGTGGTTTTTTTAATCAAAAGTCTTTAAATTCTGCAAAAAGAGACAAAATGTTCAACTCCATCTTTAAGCATGTTAGGTACCTCATCATTGACGAAGTATCTATGATAGGCAATACAAATTTAAATCAAATTCACAGCAGATTAAATCAATTATTCGGGATGTCCGGCACCCAAGACTATTTTGGCGGAATAAACATCATTTTTGTAGGAGATCTCTTCCAAATTCCACCCGTGCAACAAACTAAAATATTCGATCCGAGGGGCCTTGCAGCACTCGGTGTCAATTTTTGGAAAGATTTCTGTACCTTTTCTGAGCTGACTGACGTAGTTAGGAGCAAAGGGGACGCGCCCTTTACTGAAGTTTGTCATCGGCTAAGGACTGGACAGCATACCGAGAAAGATGTTAGTTTACTACAGTCAAGAGTGATACCACAATTACCAAACGTTAGTCAACTCATGGACAGTATGCTTCTATTCTCTACAAATGCAAAATGTTCTGAGCATAACAAGAAGTGTGTTGACCACCTTACAGCTACCACCAAAGTTCATAACATTATAGCCCATGATAAGTTCTCTAATGAGCAGTTTAACAATAGCAATCAGACTGACGTGACAAAAAAACATCAAAGACTATGTTACTGACGACATAAACAAGACCGCTGGACTGCCAACCTCAATTATTTTAGGGCTTGGGGCACGTGTTATGGTCCGTGCAAATATCGACGTGAATGACAAGTTATGTAACGGTGTTTGCGGAACTGTGAAGCACATCAAATTCAAAAATACCCCAGACACGTCTAACAGCAACAATGTGTCTGTGAAAGTTATAGACAAGGTATATGTCAAATTTGATATGGAAAAAGTTGGTAGAAAAATAATGCATTTGTGTAACAAATTTTGCCATCAAAATTGTACACTAGCAGGTACAGTGCCGATCAGTCCTGTAGAAAAACAGTTCAAGTGCAAAAAGGTTAAGAAAACAAATGTATGGCTAAAAAGGTACCAGCTACCACTAACATTGTGCTGGGCCTCAACTATCCATAAATGTCAAGGAGTCACCTTGCAAAATGCATACATAGACCTCTCTGGCATAAATTGGAAGGCGGGCATGGCCTACACAGCTATATCACGACTCACTTCGATGGCAGGTTTGTTTCTCATCTCTTTTGATAAAAGGTGCATAAGAACAGACCCTCAAATAGTAAGAGAATATAAACGTCTTAGATCCTTGCATCCTTTCCAGTTACATGATGCAACAAGTGACATCATTAAATCTCCTATTATTCAACCGAGTGAAAGTCCACAGAGTGAAAGCTCCCTTGCAAGCACTCGATTATCTTCACAGAAATTACGATCCCCACCAAGCCCTTCAAGTAGGCCTCTTTCCAAAAAACAACGAGTTGAAAGCCCTACACTACCAAACAGTAAACGGACTTCACCAGCATCTCCCATCATTAACGGTAACCGCAAGTGTCCTCGGTTATCTTCACCTGCAATGGCTACACCAAATTCGCCATTTAACAGCCTATTGTCAAAGGGTAAGGCTTACGTCATAGACTTCAACGATGACCCGCAATCCAGCCGTTTTGCCACACAGTTGGTCACACTGGGTTTTAATGTCCGGAGGACAATAAATCGCTTCCAGGAAGGTGTCAGCTGTGGCTACATAGCAGCGCGGGTTATTGCTAAATTGAATGCGGCTACTATTTCAAACGTTAACTGTTTCGATATTGATGTATTCGACTGCAATTACAATGGCACAAACAGTGCTGAACTAGACATGGTAGCGGTGGCAAATATCCATCTGGGGTTGCCTGGTTCCAAGCCACATTTTTTGTATGCTTCACAATGCCTTACTTTGATTACTTTTTACTCCATGCTTTATTATAACAAGTCTATAGCAACCTTAAATTTCCATGACCTCAATATAGAGCAACCGTTGAGTAAAACTAGTTTCACACATAAACTCAATCAAATTGTCGTACAAGACAAGGCAATTCCACCTACTTTTTTTACAGTTAATGCATCGGACCAGCAAGGGACACACTGGTTTGTGGTAGTTATTGAAATACCTTTAGATTCGCAGAATGAGCAGTAGGCCTATATTATCGTCATTCCCAGAGTACAAGTTTACAACAACAGCAGTAGTATTATACAGTTGGACATGAAATCGTTCTACACGCTAATTAAGATACTTCATTACCATTCAATAGCAGCATTACAATTCTGGTATACTCTGCTGATTATTATTGAGATAATTATACTCATACATCATTAAACATAATATATTAACTTGTAATACAGTAGGCTGGGATTATACACACAGTCAGTAATCTGCCCTATGTAGGTCAGCATATCGTGCAAAAAGATCACCAAGTCGAATATTACCTGATAAAAGTGAACTAAGGTTGTGTTAGACATTTTGTCCCTACATGGGCTCCCGGCCGTGCGTCCTTGTAGGAACTGTGGGGCCTTCCGAGTGATAGGGTTACAGTGACTGTTAGTAGGGAAAGTATGAAGTTTATACCAGTAGACACAATTACCGAACACAGGGCATTGGCTCGACCTCCAAGACAGGGTATCCGTGAGGACCCTGGTCGTAATCAGCTCTGCACTGCTCCAGTGTATCCTGATGCCTGAAATCTTGGACACTGTCTACGTACGGGGTAGACGGCCACAGACGATTGCCTCTATTGCTACCTTAGTTCACTTTTTGATTACAGCCAAATATTCAAAGTTGAGATGATCTACATTTTTGACACATACCTTGCATTACCTATCATTTCTTCCCGGTATTCAAGCTCAATCTGAACAAACTTAAACAGCTCTAGCAATAATTCTTTTGGTCATACTTGGTGTTTGATCTTTAGATATAAGTTTACAACAGACTTGTCTTTTACGACATCTTTTCAAGCATATTTTTCACCCAAACATCGCTGATTATAAGTTCACCGTAATAGTTGTATTATTACACTACAATTTATTACTAATCTTATTTAAATCATTCAGTGTGATTTGTATTATTTGTATATTTGTATCTTTACATATAAGTTTACTACAGACTACTATTTAACGATGTCTTTTCAAGCATATTTTTCCAGCCATTACCTACTATTCAAGTAAATTTCTGGTATGTTTAGATAAAACATCGCTGATTATAAGTCCAACCGTAATAGTTGTATTATTACACTACAATTTATTACTAATCTTAATATCATCACCATGATTTGTATTTTTTGTATATTTGTATCAATAACTGTAGATTAGATGTATTATAAGGATGCAGGTGGAGGACGTCCGATTGTGCTACCCGTGGGCACAACTCGTGTAATCCGGTAACAATGGAGATCGTCTTTGACTTCTGTTGGCAAACACTCCACATATAGGTAAGTTCAGGTAAGTTCAGGTAAGTATGACCTAATTCCTATATTTCAATGACTTCTGCAGTGGACTATATACAATACTGATGCTCGTAACAGCCACAAATGTTACTGGATACTATCACCTAATGTCAATATCTAAAGATAAATACTGATATGATCATATTCTTTACTTTCCTCTAACATTCTTATTCACATTATATTATAACAACTTCAGTCCAACATTCCAATCTAGGTTAGTTTATCTCCACATACTTCGATATATTTTAAAACTTACTCACTAATATACAATAATGAGATATACCCAGTTCAGCTAGTGTGTTCTGCACTTCCACAACATTTTCCAACGTTTGCTCCTCTAAACAAGTACGCTGTCCTCTATCATTGGACGTTTACTTCGTTGCCCAGGATTGAATCAACATTCTGCAGAGTATGTAAAGCACATCTTCCAACGGTAATGAAACCTGATTTGGAAAATTTGATATTAATTTACAAATAAATCTGCAAACCACTTCCATCTACAAATTTCACCACATGGCATGATACCTAACATAACTCCAAAAATGCCATTATATTAAAGGTATGTACATGATTCAAGATTATCCTCAATACTTACATTACCTCAATGTTCTTCAGTCGGAACACAACTTCCCATCAAAACAACCAACTATGTCAGCATTTTCAGCCACTCCAACAACGCCGGTAACTTTATGCAACCTTTGTCAGTCCTTAGTTAGATACCAAGTTCAATAAAGCTTTCAAAACTCTCTGAAATTAAGATCATAGTAAATACCCTCTCGAGATAATAATTTTGTCACACCAGCTCCACGAAGCTACTTCAAAGACAAAATGTATATTAAAACTTCACAAACCTCTTTTACAGGTACCATTTAGGACGCACTCTTATACTCAGCTCAGTACACAATCATCATAGGCAATATCTACCACTTATCGACAGTATCAAACACACTCCACAGTCCACACATATCGGCATGTAGTTCATATCAACAAATGCTATGTCCGGGAATTTCATTAATGTTAAGGTTTGTTCATTAACAAATTATTACAAGAAATAACCGTACTGAAACAATTCCTACAAATGTAATAGGTCACTCGTTGTAGTTGTGACACCCTACAACAGGCATTTCAAATCATCAATACTTCAGGCACCACAACAAAGTCGGATACAACAGCAACTAACAATAACAAATCGAATGACTACAAATCAATAGAAAGTTATAAATTTTCATGTTTTTTAACAACATCACCAGCTGGTAACACTCATACTACTTCATAACAACATCAGAAAATGGACGATCAGGACAGCTCACACACTCACTTTTCAATTATATAAGGTCACCATCACAAACACTCCAAAACACTGTGCAATGATATTGCACCCACCTTACCTTCAACTGCAGTTTAATGATTTTTCTAACCAGTCCCGCCATTAACTTTAATAATTATTTACAATAATATGTTAGAATATATTTGTTAATTATGGCGATTTCTGGCATGTACATACAGTTGGTCATGAAAGCCTCAATTTTCTCTCCGCATAATGACCATAATAGTTATCTTTAATACATGTAGACATATAAATGTTGCTACAAATATCCACACGAGTAACGGTATATATCTTATTAGCTATATTATGTTCCTGGTTTACTTACCTTTGCAATTGAACAAAATTGCAATATCCTACACCTAACTTTTGTTTAAGCTACATTATTTATGATGAACTGCTTTCATTGGTGCCTGCGTGATTTTCTAATCTAACTTTTCTGCTGGTGACCTATATAATAGTTGATACAATTATGATGACTGTCAAATATTCAGTGTTTATGAACACTAGCAAAAACACCACTTCATCACTTGTCAGTGATTTTCAACTCTATCAATCACCAATTCATCATTTTCCAGTACTGCAGTATTTTCAACACTACATCATTTATCAGTGTTTTTAAACACTAAAAACCAACCCTACATCATTTATCAGTGTTTCTCAACACTGGACCAAACAGACCAAGACTGCTACCAATCAGTGAAGCAACCACAATATTCAGATAACTCTATCGATGTCCTAATCTGAACACATATACATGAAGCCAACCAACAACTCCTCATTCGTTAAACGCAGTCATCATTCTTGTATCAATAATATTAACCTGCGTCAAGAAACGGTATCGTTGCCTATAAAACTTCGACTCAACTTAGTCTTACAAGATTGACTAATCTCCACTGAAACAGTTCCTCATATTAAAGACTAAGCTTTACAAAAAGTACAAACTGATACTCCGTATTAATTGTACACCGCCCAGTTCAAAGTATCTAACCAGATGTGAGGATATTTATAATAACATACATTCAACGGAATGTTCGCGTAAAACAAGTACGGATTTGGCATATTTTACCCCATTGAGGCTCACATGACCAACCTTAATATATGATATTATTTGATGTAAAATAAAGAAACATTATTCACTAATAGAGTTCTCCTCGTTGCACTAACTTTAATATTATGATACATACAAAAATTGTCTCATTGTTTATCAGAATACACCACAAATTCAAATTACCGACCGGCTGTTTCTAATGCATTCTCTAACGCCAAACGGCAACAACATAACACGCGAACAAGACTGTACAATTGTATAACTTAATGATCATCAATTAGTACATTCAATATCCTATCCAGCTTTATCACGCAATATTTAGATTGTGTCCACATCATTGGCTAAGATTTTCAGTATAACTATAACGTCACACTGGCGCAGTCCAATCACAAGGGTAGCATGTATCACGAGTCCATTTTTTATCCAACGCGAAACAATCTTCAGGAATATTACTGACTAGATCGCGCGGCTTTTTCAACCTTAAATGTACAATTATCTGCGCGCGGCTTTCCACTTTCGAAATTTAAAATTTTATTGGCGAACGTTAATGTTCCGTTCTACACGTCAGCTACCCATAACTTTAAAGTTTAAAATCATTCATAGCACAATAACAGATCATTATTTGAATAACACACTTTTCGCTATCGTTACCTGGGGACCCCAGGCTATTATATTATGTTCATAAACATAAAGATTCGGCGGAATGACAGACTGAGCGCCGCCCAGTAACGCTATCACAGTTACTCACCAGACTAATGTTCAATTCATTATTTATATTTCAAACCTTGCCTCACCACAACTTAGTTTTACTTTGGCGAACCTCAGGCTATTATGTTCATAAATATATAGAATAGAGATTCGGCGGAATGACAGCAGACAGGTTCAGCGCGGCCCAATAAGACTTAATTGTTAATTGCACTTAAATTACAACAATTAATATAATTGTTCAATTCCAATTTACTGCGCAGTGCAACCCAGTAGTTCAACATATTACATATTACAAACAATTTTGTCAACAAATCTGTCGCGTCGACAATTAGAATTTGTTGATATATTGAGTAAAAGTTATTTAATATAGTTTGACCATTTATATGCAGTATGGCTATTATATAGGAAATATATATGTATATAGGAGATATCGCGGATCGGGAAATTGAGCGGTCGCCCACAAAAGAAATGCGGCCGCATTTCTTGTTAAATCTACCGACATTTACTTATGTCGATTTTAAAATAGATAAATAAATAACGAATGAAAAATAAAATAAAACAATTCAGTGCCGGGCATCTCAATCCGACTGGCTTTCAAAGGAGTTACAGACTATTTTCACTTGTTTTCGAAGAGACATAGCGACCTGGTGAAACTGTTTCTAAGTCAAAACGTTGGTGGTCCGGCTTTGATATTCGACCGATTCCAGGAAGCTGGTGCTACAACAATTGGGCATGCTAAAGATGCGCCAATTACACGAAAAGTTTTAGGCCTAGGTAAGATTTATTATTATTATATGATCGATTCATGTGATTAATAATATTATTTATTTTATTTTATGTTATACTTATGTCGAGTTACTATTTCTCACTCTGAACATATAATAAATCACAGATGCAAATGCTCTCTATTTGTGGTGTACTGCCCAAGACATGGCCACAGGACTCTATGTCAGACGACGAGCGGAAGACAACTTTCGGAAAGAGTACCCCAGTCCAATTTCATCTGTGGCCACGGAATGGCTGGCTGACATGGAACATCGAGACAGTGTTCGTATAGAGCACGCTCGCAACGTAGGAGAATACAAAATCGGTACCCGTAGACTTCCTGTCGACGGGTTTTGCAGGTTCGTTCGCATTTTATATTAATAAATTCAATGTTTAAAATGTCGACGTTGATTGATTCTCTCACCCTTATCCTACGGTTAAATATCCATTTACATGACGCGTTTTATATTTCAGAGCTACCAACACCGTTTACCAATTCCACGGGTGCTGGTAAGTTGTATAATATAGACCCTAACTTATAAAATATTTCATTCATGTAACGAGTTCGTAAATTCACACATGATAATTAATTTCTGATATGTTGTAACTTAGGTTTCACGGTTATCCTACATGCAAGATTGATAATCGCGACGAGAAAGTGCAAGGTAGAACCCTGAACGAAAAGTTGAAGAAAACTCAAGAAACTAGCCAATACATTCGTGACCTAGGATACAATCTCACGGAAATGTGGGAATGTTCCTGGACCCGATACAAGGAGAATCATGAAATCCGCAATAGATATGTGTATCCAACCGAACACTTATTCAGGATGACCAAACATCAGATACTCGAGTCAATAATGGATGGTCGCATATTCGGTGTCGTTCAATGTGATCTGAAAGTTCCTGACCACCTCAAGTCGTATTTTGCCGAAATGCCGCCTATATTCAAAAACACCACAGTGACGGTGGACGATATAGGTGAACATATGACTGATTTTCTTCGTTCTACGGGGAAATCATTCAAACCAACTCGATACTTGATTGGTTCTATGTTCGCCGACAAAATCCTAATCATCACACCGTTACTGATTTGGTATGTTCAGCACGGACTTGAGGTGGCAGAAATTTATCAGATTATAGAGTTCTGCCCGAAAAAATGTTTCAAGTCATTTGCAGATAGAGTATCTGACGATAGACGCGGTGGAGATCGCGATCCTGCTCTGAAAGTGGTGGCTGAAACCAGCAAGCTAATTGGTGAGTCTTTTAGATTTGAGGTTTTCGATGCAATTCCCTGATAATGTTGAATTCTCTCATTTACTATATTGATATTACTAGTGTCGATAATTGTATTATATTATTGAGATTGTTTCAATTTGTTGTCTCATAATCTTTTCTACTATTGCAGGAAATAGTTTCTATGGCTATTCTATAATGAATAAGGCTCGACATACAGACGTTAAAATAGTCAATGCGGCGACAGCTTCAGACCTGATCAACAATCCCCGATTTTCTACCTTGGATGAACTCTCGGACACCTGCTTTGAGGTTGTTATTTGAATTGTGATTTTTAATGTCTCGCTTTTTTCAAAATGTTGTATATCTAGGAACATATTAATGTAATATACATCACGATAAACTTATAAAATATTTATTAGTGTACAATTTCAGGTCACGTCGAAGAAGAGAACGATCAGACATAACTTACCTATTCAAATCGGATTTTTTGTCTACTCGTATGCGAAATTACGAATGTTATCTTTTTATTTTGATGTATTACTTAAATTCATCCCTCGATCCTTGTTCTCGCTTTGTGAGATGGACACAGGTTAGTTGGCACCGCGCACGTACATTTACTTTACAATTTACAACTATTAAATATTCTGAATCTGACAGTGTTCGTGACAGTCAAACGACTTGTATTAATTGTATATAATTCACAGATTCATTGTACATGGCGCTTGCAGCCGACACACTGGATGAGTTGGTCACTCCTAAGCTACAATCGCAATGGAATCAAGCTAAATTCCAGTGGTTCCCGAGAACAGATACAGCTGAAAATGTTGCATATGATAAACGAACTCCAGGTTAATTTACTGCCTTACACTATAAAGACTTAAACTTCGAATGTATAATGTTTTCATATTTTAACTGGTTACCTGGTTACCTGGTAATCTGGTTATCTGGATTATTTCGTATCTATGGTACTTATTATTGGCTACATATTATTACTATATAATACTCAGTTACTTTTCAGGATTGTTTAAGGTGGAATGGAGTGGCGGCGGTTTTGTAGGTTTGTCGGCTAAAACCTATTTCTGTTTCGAACCTGATGCCAAACAGAAAGAGAAGTGTTCGACAAAAGGCATCAACAAGGCAGCTCAGGTCACTATAGACCATTTCCGTTCAGTTCTGCAAACGAAGCAAAGTGTCAGCTCAACAAACATAGGCTTCATTGTCAAGAACAACACCATGCTGAGCTATCGAATGGAAAGAAAGGGCTTGAGCTACTTTTACTGTTAAAGGAAGATACTTGATGACGGAGTTAGCACCACATTTTTAGACATCTAGTTGTAAAGAAATTGGACACAGTTATGGATTTTCAAAATAGAATAATATTACTACATCAACATACCGATTATTTAAATCTAATTTTAAATAATTTAAAACATATTGATCGTTTTTTTTTTGGCTAAATTGTTACTCAAGATTCAACGTCACCGAATTTCGTCTAAATAATTTGAAACAAGCTTATCATTTTCCGCTAAATGTACACTAAATACAGACAGACAGGATTCAAAACTACGCTTGCTCAGCTCTCTAATGAAATAAACACAATAAGCACCGCAAGCGTTTGAAGTTAAACGCTGCAACCACTTTCTGTTACGTGAGATAGTCTCATCCCCGATGTAACTTTTTATTGCTATGGTAAAATTAGCTTCAAAAGTAGCGTCGTTGTAATTTCGCCCATAACTGTCGATAAAGTAAATCCTCCCGTGTTTGCGCTGTAACACCAGCCAGTGGTCACCAGGTGACGACGAATTACCAGTATTAATCACCAAACTAAAATCTTCATCAAGTTTTGGTGGTAAAATGTCGTACGCAAAAGCGCCCCGAAAATGACTGACGTCAGCTAATGTTTTGTCAATCTCTAGCGTATCCATATGGTCACATCAATGACAGATTCATTGCTTATATACCATAAATGGAGGCTTATATCACGATTACCTGACGATCGTTTGTCACCTCTATAATTTCATCATACCAGGCTAAAACCATCAATACCCTCCCTGCTGGGGCAGCTTCTGGGAACTCTAGCTGGAGTCGCACAGTTCCGCTTCTTTGTAAATTCAGGGCTTTCTGATTCCCGCCACTAGCGTCTTGACTCAAATCAATGAATTGGGCTGGATACGCTCCATAATAATGCTGTAGAAGATTATCACCGCTATTAATATATCCGGATTGATTGAGAAAAGCGTCCCACATGTATGTGTAGTCGTCGTTTCCTATACGTCAATTTTGTGGGTCAGTGTACTCAAGTCGTTAAGGTCACCCACAAAATGCGGATCACTGAATAGAAGCTGGTTGTTCTGTGAAGAATAATAAAAATGCAAGGACTGATCCTCGTTGTTTTTCAAGATGAACGCAAGTGAAATTTTCAGTTTAAATGCTGT